GGTGTGTGTATATATATATTAGGTAGAAATACATATAATATATATAAATAAAATATATAAATATATATTATATTATATTTTATATATTACATTAGGTAGCAATAATATTTAAATGTTGACTCTGAGTGGTCTAATGAATTCTGGAGCAATCCAACAGGTAAGTTTAGTGCTCATTTAGCTTGATTGTTCCATTTGAAGTGATGCATTTCCCTGGAGACCCCCCCTGTCCCTGTCCCTAACCAGGAGCCCCTTTCTTTGGCAGCTCTGCCCAGCCACACGTGTGGGAATCCAGGAAGGCTCCAGAACGGGATCCAGCAAGGAACAACCTTCAGCATCGGGGACAGAGTGAGGTACAGCTGCAATCCAGGCTTTTTCTTGGAAGGCCATGCCCTGCTGACGTGCCAGGCCAGCTCAGAGAACTCTGCCTCCTGGGACTTCCCTCTCCCTGTCTGCAGAGGTACCGGGATCCCCTCCCTCCCTCCCTATGGAAAATGGGATTTCAGGAGCTCTCCGGGGGTGGGAAAACTCCCTGGAGCATGAGGGGGGTTTAAAAGGCTTGAAAACTTAGCAGGATGTGGTAGTGGATCAAGGGTTGGACTTGATCTCAGAGGTCCCTTCCAACCCAGCTGATTCTATGATTCTGTAATGTTGAGGTTCCTTTCTGCTGGATTTTGTTGGGGTGAGGGATTGGAAGGTTATGAAGGAAATGCTGCCCAGCTGCTTTAACTGCGATTTCTTTGGATAAAGTGGGGGAAAAAAACCATATTTTACAAAGGTGTGAAGTGACAGGACAAGGGGAAATGGCTTTAAAATGGAAGTGAGTAAGTTTGGATTAGTTATTAGGATGAAATCCTTCCCTGGGAGGGTGGGGAGGCCCTGGCACAGGTTGCCCAGAGAAGCTGTGGCTGCCTCTGGATCCCTGGAAGTGTCCAAGGCCAGGTTGGAGCAACCTGGGACAGTGGGAGGTGTCTGGGGAGGTTGCACTGGATGGGCTTTAAGGTCCCTTCCAACCTAAACCCTTCTGGGATTCTCTGATTGTCCATAAGACCCAGCACCTCCCCAGGACCAGGGAGGTTCTCCGGATCAAACTCTGGATTTCCTGCTCTCTGTTGGATTTTTCTCGTGGCCCATTCCCTGCTGGTTTCGGGAGGCTTTGCTGTGGGTTGGGGGCAGTGGGGCTGAGAGGTAAAACCCGACCTTCCCTTGGAAAATCCTCCCTTCTCCCTGCAAGTTTGGGGCAGGGAAACTTAAATCCCTCTCTCAGTGCAGGGAGTGTGTTGCTAATTCGAGTCCCACGAGGGACTGGAGAGTCTGTAAATACACAAGTGCCTGTGTTGTTCTACCAAAAACATTTGCTGCTGCTTTTGAAGTCCTTTTCCCCTCGATTCCTTGTGTACTTCAGCAGAGCATCTTCTATTGATTCTCTTTATTGACTCTGCCTGTGCAATCAATCAGCACTTCTAAGCTGCAGCGTAAATCTGGAATTTAAAGTGAGCAAATATGGTTTGCCTGGGATGTTTTCAATGCTTGCCTGGGTTGGTTACACAGAGCTAAGAGGGGTATTAATGCTGCTCAGCGGGTTTTTTGGTGCTCTCACCCTGCTGGTTTTGGGGCCAAGGGCATTCAGAGCGTTGCAGGGGGGGGTTCAAACAGCCAAAGTGTTGCTGGAGAGGGAGGGAGGGAGGATCAGCTCTTCCATCAGTGCTCTGGGAATGGCTCTGGTGGCGAGTGCTGCTTCCTGGAGCAGCCACTTCTTTTTCACCACACTTGCTCCTGATCCTGCAAGGCTTTGCCTCGGAGCTTTTACACGAGGTATTTTTTTGGGAGGCAGGAACCAGAAATATTCCCGTTTTTGTAGCAGTTATATCTCGTTCCAGGGAAGTAGGAAAAGCAGCAGAGACAGCCTGCAAATTGACTTGCTGGCTTTGAAACCCTGCTGCCCTCCTCCCACCCTCGGGAGGCTCCCAGGAACCAGACAGTTGTGCTTGGCTGATAAACTGGTGATACAGGCTCTGGTTGTTGCAAGGGGCAAAAGGATTTGCATTCTGACAAACAGGTTTACACCTTCTCCTGCTGGGAAAAGAATGTTTTCAAAGCTGCTGCCTGAAGGAGAGTAAATATATATATATATATATATATATATATATATATATTTCCTTGAGAGCAAAAAGATCTTAGTGGCCTGTATGGCTTATAAATAATTCTGTTAATATTGGCTTATGGGTCATTGTCACCTGAGAGTTTGTTGAATGTATTTGTAGGTATAATTTTTTAAATCAAGATATTTCATCTTGATTTGTTGGAATCCCATCTCCAACCCAGATTAAAAAAGGTGCTCTCTGGGTGAGCAGGGGGTAAAACCTGGGAGCTGCTGCCTTGGGAATGATTTGTCTGATGCCACAGTAAAGGACATTGTTGGGTTGAGGACTCTTCCCTCTGGGATCACTCCAGAGGTGGGACACAGGGGCAGGTTGGACCCCATCAATCCCTGGTTTCTTTGTGCTCTTTGCTCTGTGTTTGTCCCCTGCTTTGGGACATTCTTGTCTCTACATTGGGATCTTTGTCTCTGTTCTGGTCTTGATGCTTTGAAAGAATTGGAGATGCACAAAAATTCCTGGCGGAAAAGGACCACCAGTAGTTGAGGGTGTGTGAGGGGATGTGCTGGGCCAGGAGGGTGCTGAGGGAGTGCTGGGTCTCAGGGAGGAATTCTCTGCACTCCCTTGGCCCAGCTCAGGCTGGGATTACTGGTGTTCTTATAAAGGACAAGTGTGATCCCAGAGAGAAGAAAATCAGAGGGAATTCCAGGTGGATAAACGTGGCTTGCAGCTGGGTTTGGGAAGCACAGTGGGATCCAAACTGATCCCTGAGGGACCAGCCCTGACCTGGGCCAGCAAACCCCAAATACAGCAAAATGCTGCTTGGGAAGCACCAGGAGATTTATCCCAAAACATCTGAACGTGCTGTAAAGCTCCTCCATCCGTGCAGGGAGAGAAACCTTGCCCAGATTGTTTGCTGAGTTTGAGTAGAACTGATGGGTTCATGGTTCTGGGAGTAAAAACTCAGGAAGGCAGGGGGAGAGTTGGGAACATTTGTGAAGCTCCATTTTAAGCATATCAAATATGCATAATCTCATTAAAAGTGGTCTGTCTTACTATAACTCAAGCAGCTGCTTAGGCTGTGCTGTGCCCAAAAATAATTGAAGGGCTGTTCAAGAAGATTTTAGAAGATTTGTAGGATATGTTTGAGCAATAACAACCTCTACAGACTGAGGGAGTGTGTGTGTGTGTTTAGAGGTGGATGGGAAGGGAATGTGTTTGCCATTAAATACCTTTTGCAGTGAAGTTTTTTTCAAGGGATTTGAATTGAAAACTCCCCTTTTAATAATAATAATAATAATAGTAGTTATAAAAAAAGCCAACCCCCCACCATGCCTTAGGCTGGATCTTCAGCTACTGCAAGTTTGCACAGTCCAATAAAACAAATTAGTCTCCTTGTTTAAGAACTCGAATCCAGCACTGAGTCAAAATTCTTTAGCATCTTCCCCATCCCCTCCTGTGCTCCTTCTAGTACAGGGAGATGGTTTGAAATCAGCCCTTTATTCTTTTTGCATGGAGCTTTGGAAGTCCCACTGTGAATCCTGTGCACGAGGCATCGAGTTTTGAAGGGTTTTTTTGGGGGGGCTTGGAGTAGATGAGACACTTTCCAGCCTGAATTTATTGGTGATTTGAGCTGCACCCCAGTGTCTGCGAATAATTTCAGTTCACTGGCAGCACAGCAAATAGAAACTTTGGGAGTTGGAATAGAAGAGGGAGGGCTGGGGGTGCTCAGCCTGGAGAAGAGAAGGCTTTGGGCAGTTCCTCCTGCTCCCCTCCCAGTTCTTCCTGCTCTCCAGTTCCTCCTGCTC